AGTGCCAAAGTGCTCTGCTGTAAATAAATACAATAGATTTCTTTAATTGTAAATATTTTTTGCAGCATTAATGAATGACAGCCCCTCCCCCTTCCATTCTTGCAAAAGGTATTGTTTAACAAAGCGAGGAAGTTAGCTCCCAACTCCAGTTTATTCCCACCTTATGAATTATAAATAAACAGTCACATAAATAAAATAATACATGTATTGCAAATAAAAATATAAAGAACACATAACATGTATTTAATTAATTTATGATGAACATCTACACACCCAGCGAATTTCTCTATTCATTTCCGTTACTTTCTGAAAATTCTGAAATTTGAATTGATTAAGAACTTGTTTTACAAAATAACTTATGAGTAAAGGACGATGAGATTTTGAAGTAAAACACATAGAATACTAACAGTTTTGGAGATACAAATGTATTTGAATGCTGAATTGAGCAATGTTAGACAGTTTAATCTAAAACATCAGGCTGGTGCTATTGTTTACTTACAATAATGAAACTTTTGTCCAAAAGAGAAATTTTACCCTCTAATATAAAATTGCTTGTAAGTCATGAAAATAGAGTACAATGTCAATGAGGGGTTTTTATGTTCAAAGTGACAATACTTTGCAATGGAAGCAATTAGGAAGAATAGTATGCAGAAGATTTATACATTACTAAATGAGCTACTAGAATACAAATTTATTACAAAAATATTTGCAATTAAAGAAAAATATTGTATTTATTTTACAGCAGAACATTTTGGCACTACATGTGGCTTCGTACAACATTGAAATCCACTCACATGTACAATGAAGCGCATTGAAGTGGTAAAAATTTCCGTTTGGATGGAGCGTTTTGAGCTATCTTAAGATACGCCCATTTCTTTAGAAAGGAAAAATCGGTCAAATGATTCAATCGAATACCTGTAGAACAGGTATTCCATAAATATAATAGCCAATCAAATTGACGGTCTACATAAACACAGAGTAAGCACGTGTTCGACTGATACATGTGTTATGCTAACTCCAATAAACATAATAAAATCATAATTATGTACAAAATCGTTGCAAAGCGTATTTTACATAAGCGGGGACTCTATATATAGTTCTTTCTTATTTACAAATCTTCATTTCAGTGTAACTCATGTTGCTTGTCGCGGAAAGTAGGGTGCCTTAAAACATTACGACGAACATTTCTTTGTTTTCTTTTCTCGTTTCTAAAGAATTGGGCGTGTCGTTATGTTATAATTGACGTTCAAAACATGAGTCAGAACGTTTCATCCAAACGGAAAATTTTACCGCTTCAATGCGCTTCATTGTACCTTTAAATTCCAATGATACATCTGAGTAACCTCATGACCTAGATTCAAACCTAATGTGATACTTGTTAGACCAAATTGAATACCCTATTGAGCTATCCAGCAGGCTATTGAAAACTTTACCGCTATTTCGTAATTCGCTGTAAAATATTGAACATTCAATTTTGTTCATGCGATGTGTATCAGATACAAATTGAAAATAATCAATGCTTGATTTCAGATCAAAGCTAATGAACTGACAGAAGTGTTCAAAATGGTTAAGGTCATTTATGGAAAAATATACATTTTTGCACCAATGATTGCATGCATCAAATTTTTTAAAAAAAAAAAACGTCTTTATAAAAGATGTGAAATTGATACATGTAGATAATAAGACCAGAAAGGATGAAATTCAGAATTTGGGAAAAGAGCAGGCATGCACTGTAGCTACATGTAAAACATCAGAGATGAGATCAGATGCCATGAGGGTGTACGAATTCCTGTCACATCCGTTCTATATATACGATTTAGAAACTGTTTCGTAATATTTGCTCTTTTGTATGGCACGCCAAATTCACAAAAATGAGATAAACCTAGTTTCACAATTGATAAACTTGGTTTATCGACTGTAAACTATAGTTTACAAACCGTAAACTATAGTTAACGATTCGTTAAGTATAGTTTTCATCTGTAAAACTATATTTAACGGTTGTTAACTATAGTTTACGAATGATAATCTAAGTTTATCTGTCTGTAATAAGCGTTAACAATATATTTTGTTGATCAACATAGATTCACGTTTGTAAACTATAGTTTACAATCGTCAACTATAGTTAAGAGTTGTTAATCATAGTTTCACAAATCGTGATCTTTAACTATAGTTAACGGTTTGTAAACTATAGTTTACAAATCGTGAAACTGTATTTATCAGATAATCTATGTTTTGCAATCGCAAATGATTTTTTTCAGTGTTAAGTATAGTTTACGGTTGTGAAACATAGATTATCGCGTTAACTATAGTTTACAGATGTAAAATATAAATTAACGTTGTTAACTATAGTTTACAGTCTGTAAACTATAGTTTACAACCGATAAACCTAGTTTATCGACTGTGAAACTATGTTTTGCTCATTTTTGTGAATTTTTGCGTGCCATACTTTTGTATCAAATCAAATGAGAGACATAAATGCAGTTGATAATATTATAGGTGAAATATTTGGAGAAAACGAACAGTATTCATGCATAAAAGTGCATTAAACAATACAAATTTTGGAGCATAGCAAACAGACCTCTAAAACATCAGATGTGGGATCAGGTGCCATGGAGGTGAAGGTTGAAAGGGGGGGGGGGTTGAGGATAGGAGTATTCCTTGATAACTCTATATGGGCCTTGAAATTGCTCATAATTATTGTTTTATTAATTATTAGCTAATCATTTATACAGTAAAAAATCTTCCCTATATTTTCCTGGTGAAAAAATAAGCCGTTGAAGGTAAAAATCAGCGCTTCTCTTAAAAGTCCAAGACGGGTCTGCAGCAATCCAAGAACATAATTCCTAGTAAAAGTTTAAAATTTCCTTCCACCATAAGATGCATGCAACTTAGTAAGACAAAACATTTTTCAAGAGCTTCTAAAACATCTGCTTCTGGAAGAAATATTTAATATATAGGCCTATTCTTGCATGGATCATAGTAAGTGCATTATGAATTAGTTCCCACTCTCCTTAAAAGAAAGAGTTCTTGACATTTTGATGAATCTATCATTAATACAATTAATGACTGATGTTTTTCATACTAATTTATAGACCATCACTTACACATTGAATTGTCGACGGATTTTTCCTTTGTTTCCCGATTGCGACTAAAAAGACACGGCGGGTGTGACCGGTCGACCGGGGATGCTAACTCCTTTATGGCACCTGATCCCACCTCTGATATTAAATAGGTCCGTGTTTGCTATGCTCCTGACCTGTATTGTTTAATGGACTTGTATGAATGCTGCATGCTTTCTCCATATATTTCCTTTAAAATTATATCTTGACTCCAGAGAACAATTATTGACGGTAAGAAAATGAAACTGGTCACTTTATTTCTCACTCTTTCTCACGTCTACTTTCTGTGATTTGATGAATAACGGATGTTCATGTTAAATAAGACACGATGCAAATGACAAGAAGTGACTTGTCTCAACTTGATCTAAAAATAATTTTTAATGGTAGTTTTGAAATATCAATACTACCACCCAATACTTTGTTAACATGTGCAATCAAAAGGATACTTCAGTGAGATATATCAGTAAAAGAATGCAAGAAATGGCACTAAATTTTAACTAAATGGATGATTTGAGTAAATATGAATGGTGAACCTATTTTAATAGCACATGTCACACTGACAAGAGTTCCTCTTGAACTCAAAGGAATAAACCCAAACTTTTTTTTTAGGTTTAGAGACAGAATTGAAAGGTCTTGAGAGTAACTGTTAAAACTAATATGAATCGAACTATAAGCGTGTTTCTTTGTATATATAAAAATGGATTTTGAAGTAAGTACTTTGCACCAGAACAAGAAAAAATTGCAGAGCCTAACTGTAACCGAGCAGTTAAGGAAAATGTTGAATAAGATGGTAGTATCCATTTTATTTATTGAGTATATGGGAAAAAAAGACATTGACCTATAACAAATATAAATAATACATTAGAAAAAAATACATATTTACATATAGTTTCATAAGCATTGACAATAAGTTACCGTTTATTCAGCATACATATTTAAGAAAGAAAAATGTTCTATAGCAAAATGAACTTTAAACTAAGAATTTACTCAGACAACTTTAATTGCAAAAATACGATAAAGTATAAACTTCGCAATTTAAATAAAATGTTATACCCAAATCTTTGATAGTAAAGTAACAAATAATTAAATGTAAAAGTTACATACCACAAGATGCATCGGATATCAGCTGGATATAATTTCTTCTTTAAAATGTAACGCTGCATAATTTTGCTTACTTTGAACGGTTACTTATACTATAAGGATAATATTAAATGAACCAATGAAATTGAAGATATTATGAAAATATTTAAGATTACTTTAGATGGACGAAAAATAGCTAGAATGATCCCAAAACGAATTAATACCTAAGAAATAAAAAAATTATAATAGTAAATTTCGTCTACCACATAACAACCAAATTAAAAATTTACTCAAGAATGAAATCAGCGTCAGATGCAGCATCTAAAACGTGCGTGAAACTAAGCATTTGTAGATGCTCCATCGGAGAGTGTATTGTGCATATGTTTTAAACATCTTATCATGGGAAAAAGAGAGATCTATATCTCGCATCATACAAAATTCTTTCATTCGAATAAACTGAAAAATTGTAAAATTAGGAACTCAAGCATGGGGAAATGCAGCATTCAGTACTGGATATCAAAACCTGAAAAACTTTATTTATTTTAAAACAGTTTTGAAATATATTTTTATATTTGATGTATTTCACGAATACATATAATTGGGATCACATATCAAAACAAAACATAATTTTTCACTGTATAAACATATTAGGCAAAAGTACATTAAATGTGTTGCTTGCAATGCAAAATACCTACCTTTTCAGCATAATCTGTATTTATAAGTTAAATTAAATAGTAAATAAAGATAAAATAACGATAAAAAACATTGGAAATTGATTCACTTTTTTCAATTTGTAAGAAAACAAGCAGGACATCTTTTCATTTTAGGTCACTGAGTAGTAGCCTCACTCAGTAGTAGCATGATTTGTACATGTGTTCTATTCAAATATTTAAACTTTTCATTAAATTGTGTAAATAACTGTTGTATCAAAAAATCTTACATTACTTGAAAATACTTAAAAAAATGTTTGTTTGTTAAAAGAAAATGTGAAAAAATTAAGACATTTTGCAAGAATAATACTATTTTGATTGCTGCTACAGTAACATTCTGATAATCTGAGGCATCACTAAGTCCATGCCTATGATAATCACAACAAACAAGAGTTATCTTTGTGTTACACCACGAATTCTTTACTCCAGGGATGGAAAAATTCATAGTTTATGAATAAACTTTGTAAAAGAATAAGTCATCGTATCTTAACATACTTGTACATGGTAAAAATGACAACCCCCATGATGATCAATCCACATCCAACGACTTTCCATCTAGATCCTGTGGAAACGGAGTCAGTCTTTGCAGAAAATTTAGATTTAGATCTCACAGGCAAAGCTTTGTCGCGAATAACCTTGATCCAAGGATCACACACCTTGAAAACAAATATGCACAATAACACAATAACACAAATGTATATACCAACAAAGTAATGCTCCATTTAATTATTTACATATATACATAATTTCAAAAAAAAAGAGGACCCACATCGATCATCTGGGCATTCTGACTTCAAAAAAGCAAAAATTGATTCATCATTGAAAATTTCAAATATAAAAGTTGTTCCGTCATTTTGTATTCTTTTGAGATCTTGCCTACCAAACAGACATGATTTGAACACACCTGTATCTGCATACCTGAGAATGCTTCTGAATTAATTTTACTAACAATCACGGGTGTGCTATTCTTAAGAAGATTTCTTTATTGATATATCCCTTATATTACTTTGCATAACTTTGACCCCCACCTACCTACTTGGGCAATGATTTGCACAAATTTGATTCTACAAGATTTTTAAATAATTACCACGTATTTTTTGTAGAACTCCGCGAATGAATTGTAGCCCAACCCAATCACTATAGTCAAATTTTGACTTGATTCTAAAATACCAGAAGATACAAGTTCCAAATAGACAAAACCAATTGTGGCAGTGTTCTTGAGAAGAAAATTTTTATTCCTACGTGTTTCTTAATTTTTATGCCCCCCTTCGAATTAAGAAGAGAGGGCATATTGCTTTGCTGCTGTCTGTCTGTCTTTCTGTCAGTCCATTATCGGTTTCCGTTCATTTTCTTTTGAAATTTGTAAAATAGGTTAATAATAAGAATATCTAGATCATGTTTTGTTTTGGGTACGATCGGACCATTTCGTACAGAGTTATGCCCCTTGGACTTAGAAAAATTCCAATTATTTGTACTGCAGTAGTTTCCGTTCATTTTCTTAGAAGAGGTTGCATATGTTGAAATGAAATTAGTGTAGAGATTTATCATAACACTGTCTATGATCGTATCCCTGGGGTCATTATTTGAACAAATCTACACTTCCAAATGATGCTTCCATTCAAATACGACTAAATTGTTCTTGAGAAGAAGATTTTTTTTAGATTTCTCCTTGAAAGAGAGTATAGCTCTTCATTTAAAAAAAAACAAAACTTAAATCCCCTTTACCTAAGGATGCTTTATGGCAAGTTTTGTTGAAATTGATCCCGTGGTTCTTGAAAAGAAGTAAAAAAATATGAAAAGTTAAAATACAGACAGACAGACGACGGACTTTCTTTGATCAGAAAAGCGCAAACAAAGATTTCAACCCAGGTCAGCTTAGAAATATACATGTATATATATAAAGAAGAATGTTGATTTGATCATTATTAAACCTGTGTCATAAAGGTTAGGATGGGTACATCAAGCTCTGGATAAAGTCGATTAACGCGAGACTGTCCTTTGTAGTTGTCATAATCACCACAGTAATTTGTGCAAAGAAGAGAGCGGGTTTCTGAAATGCCAAGTTTAGAACAGAATTCTTTCTTTTTTGAATCTGTCTCATCAGGATTACATTTGTCTTTCTTTGTTAGCACACCAAATACTGGTACATCTGCAACAAAAGGATTTAATTCTGAAGATGAAATAGCCTTACGCAATATATCCAATTGCTTAGTCCCTAAGTAAATAGTATTTCTAAACCCGATTTAATTGTTTAAGTCTATACCTTGCTTCCTACTCAATAGTCGAAAATACCTGACTTTTTCTTGTCTTATAAAAATCGTAAAAAAAGGACAGGAAAACGTCAGACTACATACTCAAATCAATGATATATTGAAACACATTTATTCCAGAATTACCCTTGAAAGTCTCAGTTAGAATTAGATGAAAATGTTGAGTAGCTGAGTTTTATGGAAAGTTTTTAAAAGACGATACATATTTTTCATAATATACAGGTTAACCTAAACAAAAGTTCAATGAATTCATTTTATACCTCTTTCCTCCTCTAGTGTTATCTGTTTGATTGCTTCCATCAGATTACATGGTAGTAAATCTACTGATGATGCCACAAAAATGAGACAGTCCATCCTTTGATGCTCCTGCTCTTGTTCACAAATTTCCCTTAATCCCCTTACTCCTTCAGATCTTAATAAAATAAAATCGTCAAATTATTTGTAGTATATGTTATAGAGACATTGCACGTTTATTATACAGCAGGAAATTAATAACTAGCGGAGTTAACATTTGCTATATTCGCGAAAATAGAGATTCCGCGAATTCAATATACAGCAAATCATTCTTTTAAAAAATTATAAGGATTAATTTATCAAAATATAACTGTTATCTGTGATAAGATTCGTGAACTATATTTGTATTTCCGTGCAAATATAAAAACAGCAATTAAGGTGAAATATCCCTCTGTTTCAAAATTCACCATTTTTTATACCCCCCGCTTGAAAAGCGGGGGGGTATATAGTAATCGTTAATTCCGTCCGTCTGTACGTCTGTCCGTCCGTCCGTCTGTCTTCCGTCCGTCCGTCTGTTACGCTTTGGGGTACCCATCTCTTATCCGCAACTCCTCTCATACCACTGAATGAAATTTGATGAAACTTTCACAGAATCTTTATTACATATTGCCATTGTGCACCTCCTATTTTACTTTTTGATCTGACATATATTTTGGATTTTCCAGAGCTAAACATGGACACTGCCATTTTATTCATATGGGAGGCGGGGGGTATCATTTAGTGAGCTCATTGCTCACAGTACCTCTAGTTTAATTTCAAACAATGGTTTTCATCAACAATAATACCATTAGATTCAAATGGAAAATAGTTTGAAGTATGAAGCGTTGCTAACTTTTTCAGTAATGAATGATATCTCAAATATGATGACATTGTGGAGATATAGTAAATGGAAAGATCAATTATTTTTTATCTCACAATAAAATTAGAAATATTAAGTTTAAATATGAACATAATATTTACTCTCATACCTATCTAATTTTCATTAGAAAACATACTGAAGCGTTGCTTTTTAAATGAGAATATCAAATTGTTTTATGCCCTTGTAAAATAATACGCATCCATCAACAAGAGTTATCTTTCTATCATCGCCCTTGAAAATATTTTTTACTTATTAGTGAAACAAAATATTAAAAGTTTATAAAGAATTCTGCATCTGAAATTTCTGTAACAATTAAATAACTTACGTACACATTAAGATTAATTATGGCTCCCTCAGTTGACAATAAATATTTTTTTGAAAATAATTAAATATACTCAGAACTTTTACTATTTAATTTATAACATCCTGCGTGATGTCATAGGGATATAATTATCAGTGTTTAGGGGGAGCTTAGTCAGGGCCGCATCCCTGGCAGCTGCCTTATTTTTATCTAGTGATGTTAGTTTATATGTTGTTTTTGAGTAGGGTCTGGGAAATAAATTGTTTAAAATATAAAAAAGAAACTTACACGTTAAGAGATGCATTGGCGTCGGAAGCAAATTAAGAGTGTTTGTGTGGGGGGGGGGGGGGGGGGGTAAGGGTAAGAATTTTTTTAGACCTCCCAAAAAAACATGACAAGCCAAAAAAAGGATGTCCATTGTCCAAACACGAAAATCCTATTTCTTGGGGGGGGGGGGGGGGGGAGGGGTAGGTGAACTTCGGTACCGAAATTTTTATTTTAAACCTATACTGCAACGTGTCTGTGAAAAGTGGGGGAGGGGGGCTAAACCTACGCAGCAGTGTTCAGTGTCTATCCTAAGTCTATCTTTGGAAAAAAAAAGTGGGGAGGGTTGAGCCCCCCCCCCCTCCCCTAGCCCCCTGGTTCCAACGCCTATGAGATGGAAATATCTGAATTTATACCGTTTAAAGGAGCTGAGTATAAATGTTCTTAAGACTATTACAAATGATTAATGAAGATATTGGCAATAGAAACTAGAGAACAGCATTTGTACGGTAAAACAGATTCGACTGAGTTGACTATAAAGAGGTCTTTATAAATGAAATATGTAAAATCTGACATTACAATTCTTTGATTTTCATGAAAAATGTCTTCAAAAAGTATCGATGACGTTGTACGTAGAATGTCTTGGAGCCCGGTAGATAACGAAGCATTTTCGTCTTATACTCGGTAAAAATCCTGAATAAACTCTAAATATGTTGGATGAATCAAACATATGTCACAACCGAGTGGTACTGACATGTGTAAAAAGGTACAGGCAGTATTCATGTGACACTTTGTATCTGACGAGGACATTCTGTGAAATAAAAATTTAAAGAAAAAAGTTTAAATGAGTGGGTGTTGGATTAGATTTTGTAATATGTATAGGGATAGTATTTTTTTTAATTTCTCGACTCTATGTTTTTGACGCTGCATTGCAGGTAAAAAAATGATTTCTGAATGAAAAGAAACCACACTACAACAAAGCAAAAATTTTTACACATGATATTACGCTTATTTTAAATTTTTTAAAAGAAGTATAACGAAGATTGATATCGTCTTCGAACTTTTCGGGCAACCCTCGTACTGTAGGATTATTCATGTCGGTTAGTTAATATATTAATTACCAGTATTCGTTTGCCTCATCGTAACCATTATAATCAAAGTAGTATACTCACGTATGGACCCTAATAGTATCTTTTATGTTTTCCTCATTTGGTACCACGCCAAACAAAACGTATCTGAGTTGTTCCTTTACTTCATCAGAGGACTCGTCATCGAACCCATCCATGTCAATCAGAGTTGGATATGGATAACTCTTCTGTCTCTCAGAACCCAGATATTCATTCTTTGTAATTCTTTATAGAGAATAATTTTGCTTTAAGTTTTATTTAATAATAGCATCAATGCAAAGTTGAAAAATTAAGCCAAATTTTAGCATATTTATTAGCAGCAATGCAAAGTTGTAAAATTAAGCGATAGTGTGACAGGTTTAAAAACGATAGAACTGACAGACACACCAAGAGCAAAATATTCATAATTTCAACATGTTAAAGAAAAGGCAGCTGAAGTGTGGATAATACTACCTTTATTAAATAAATAAAAATGTAAAAGTTGTTAAAAACTTTACCGGTATTTTGTAATTTGCTTTAACTGATGTAAACCCACGGACACTAGCATAAGTTTCCTTTCATTTTGAAATCAGATAGAACTCATAAGCTAAGCATATTGAAAATGTGAGAGAAGTCAACGTTCAGTTTTAGGGCTTATTGTTATATACTTGATAAGATGATGCGTCACTTGTTCCCCTGGCTGATCAACGAATCCTTCCCTAGTCCGCTCTCGCCAGCATTTGGAGGAAAAACTTGCTATAATCGAGTTCATAAGGGAAGATTTTCCAACTCTTGGAGGTCCTATGATAGCTACATTTTTTGGCACTTTGTATTCATTTAAACGTTCCTCAAGTCTTTGTATTTCTTCAAATTTAAGACTTTGGTAATCGATGTCATCGGTTAAAGTATCTGAAATTTCAGAAGTAAATTTTTACTAGCCTAGTACTTTAAAAATTATCATCATCCATTAGATTTTTACTGACATGCAAAAGTACGACAACATCCTATTTGCAAAATGAAATATATATCAAACCGTATATTGTTGTTAGTCTTCTTCGTTCGTCCCTTTGTCAAATCTTTATTCTTCCCTAACCTCACCTTTTATTTATAGCAGTAACCAAATAAAATTTTGGAAATGATAAAGGCTTTCCTGTAGATATGAAGAACTTTGTGTAATTTTTAATTTTACCCTAAATGTCAAATGGGGTCAAAAATAGTATTTTTTAAATACAGAAACCCGGTTCCTAGAACTCATCTTACATTTTAGGCAGAAGTCCGATCAGGTATTGGAATGAATTTTGGCAAATACGAGGGTTGTCCCGTAAAATCGTGGACAAGTTGTCTAGTGTAAAAAATAAACATCACTGCGTTCTGAAATTTTCACTATTATTTAGTAGATATTTTAGTAATATACACAGCAAATTTCAGATAAATATATGCATAAATAAACAAATTATGTGATTTTATGCTATGTATTGTATCACCTTACGGCGCATGGATTATAACGTCAAAGTGTCTAAAACAGCGTCACGTTTTATCTTTGCTGAAAATGAAGTTGGATGAGTCCGACTTAAATTTACGAATTTCATTGATACACATTCTTTAGTCTCCATAAACAGTCGAAGAACCTATTGGCACCCTAATGAGATCTTCTGAAGATTAATCAGTAAGTTACGGACAATATTCTCGCCATCATTCATTAATAGAAAATCTCATATCGGCGGTCTACTGTGACAGCGTCTTTTGCTATTACATTAGGAGTTGTCCGTATGTTTTGTACTCCCCAGGGACTCGATCAAATAAGACTTCGCTAAGAAAACTCCTATTTCATTTGTATACTTAAGATATGGTGATATTTTTATAATCTTTTTTCTTCTATGGTCATTTCAATCTCTAAAGGTGTCATTACAACATCGAATTAAAACGGGACTGCTCTCCGGTGCGCCGTAACGTCATAAAACGTCGCCATTTTTCGTGTGTTGTGTTTACCACTTTCCCATTTCGAATGCTCGAGAAACTGCCAAAAATTAACCAAATGCCTTAAAATTTTTACAAAGACTACAAAATTGATTGTGGAATTGAATTAGGATAATTTTAATCCAAATCTTATGTATTTAAAACTTTTATTTTGAATTCAAACTTGTGTATTCTTCAATAAAACCTTGGTTTTTTGTCCGTGCGCCCTAGGACAATACCCCGTGCACATTCAAGCATAATAAAATCTTTATTTTTGCCCATATTTTATCAAAAAATTTATCATGCACTTAAATATGATAAATAAACATTTACTGAAATTTTCAGCTTAGTGCGCCCATTATTTTTCGAGAAAAACGTTTTGTCCACGATTTTACGGGACAACCCTCGTATGAATGTGCAATGTTTTCGAAATTGCACTATCACCCTTGGGGCCAACTAGGGGCTCACAAAAAATGGTGCTCCGTGCATTTTGGCATGACATGCAACAATATATTTGTTCCGCATGTTCAAAGGTCTTTCTCTAAGCTATTTTTGAGCTACGTGAACAATCATTAAATAAGATATATACAAATAGGTTATAAATTACATATTTAACTCGCCTAAGCTCATACTGTAATCGAAAAAAACCTCGTACTATGTTGTGCAAACATCGTAGCTTTGAAACTTCCTCAATAAAAAAATTAAATCGCCTGGCTTACTTAAATTTATTTTTTTAAACAGGGGATTTGAAAGGCATTTCATAAATAGATATATGGAAAAATTTCCTTAGATTGAAAAAGCGGTCAAGCACATCTTCACTCTGGATAAATAAATGTACATGTACTCACCAAATGACATCTTAAGGTTGTGAAGTCATTGACAACAATGAATATGACGCATGCGCTATAAATTCTTTACAATTAGTCAATAAATATACATCTCTTCATATTTGGAGTCTTTTTATAGTACACTGTATTTTTTTCATACTTTGTAATGACCTTTATGATTGGTTTGTTTGATATCACGTGTCAAATTATATGCTATAATTGGCAGAAGGATAAAACGTACGCTCAACTAGGACCTCAGAGCAGGGGACCTAAGGTCCTAGTTGAGCGTACGTTTTATCCTTCTGTCTATAATTGCGGAAAGATCATTGTAACATTAAAATAAACTCGGAAAAAACCCGTACTCTCTAATATATTAAGGAAATTTTTAGCTTCACCATTTCTAAATACAGTAAATGTAATTAGCTATATTAGTCAATCAATTTTTATTCAGTCCACTTAAACTTCCTTGGCACGCATGATCACCGATTTTGATAAAACGTTGCCCATTGTTACAACCTGTCACTGGAAACAAATATGAAATAAGATTTGGTTGCTATGTGTTTTGTTGCCATGGTAACAGCTAGAAAAGTTTGAAAATTGAGAATATTAGCTACTTTCAAGAAATACGCCCGCTAACTCCCGCCGCATTTTGGAACCATTTAATTCATTTAATACAAAGAACAGTTCAGTGATAATTGATGAATTGTCTTAATACCAGCGCTAGATAGTAAATTGTTCATAATTCCAGCTTTTGAGAAAGGGGGTAGACTATATTTCATATTGAAATCGGAGTTTCAAGCATCACCATACTTTGAAACAGCCTTGGATATGATTAAATTATCCTTATATTTTTTCTTATGTTTTAGGCAAATAAATAAAATATATTAATAGAATCTAATATTTCAGTTGTAAATCGCTTTGTAACTGGTGGAAAATAAGCATTTTTGTCGTTTTTTGTCAATAAATATACCCCCCCCCTTCCGATGACACACAAAAAGCATTGGTATAAATTTGTGAAATAACAGTCCACATTACCTGTAAAAAAGGAATTTTTGTGTCACAGGGTGTGTGTGTGTTGGGGGGGGGTTAAAAATATTTTACGTTTTCCGTTTATTTCTATAGTAAAAAAAACACAAGGTTTACCAAAATTTTAAAGTTAAGTAATGTTTTATACGGAAGTCCGTTGAGGCCAATCCAGGGAAAGAAATATTTTCTATTGCGTTTAAACGCTATAATTATTGCGTTTAATCGCAAAACTTTGCGTTTAATCGCAATAATTATTGCGTTTAAACGCAAAACTTTGCGTTTTATCGCAATAATCATTGCGTTTAAACGCAAAACTTTGCGTTTTATCGCAATAATCATTGCGTTTAAACGCAAAACACTTTGCGTTTAATCGCAAAAGATTGCGATTAAACGCAATCTTTTGCGATTGAACGCAATAATATTTCGATAAAACACAATAATTATTGCGTTTAAACGCAATAATATTTTTGCGTTTAATCGCAATAAATTTTGCGTTTAATCGCAATAATATTGCGATTAAACGCAATACTTTTGCGATTAAATGCAATAATTATTGCGTTTAATCGCAATAATTATTGCGTTTAAACGCAAAACTTTGCGTTTTATCGCAATAATCATTGCGTTTAAACGCAAAACTTTGCGTTTTATCGCAATAATCATTGCGTTTAAACGCAAAACATTTTGCATTTAATCGCAAAAGATTGCGATTAAACGCAATCTTTTGCGATTAAACGCAATAATATTGCGATAAAACACAATAATTATTGCGTTTAAACGCAATAATATTTTTGCGTTTAATCGCAATAAATTTTGCGTTTAATCGCAATAATATTGCGATTAAACGCAATAATTTTGCGTTTAATCGCAATAATATTGCGTTTAAACGCAATAATTTTTTTGCATTTAAACGCAATAATCTTTGTATTTAAAAGCAAGTATTTCTATTGGTCTTTGAGGGCAATGGATCCACGCTGATATTTGTTTCTTTTTTCTTTTGTACATTAATCTATGATGAGAATTATGTATTGTTAAGCTTCATAGAATCAGATTCTTCTGAACAAGCACTTTCTGAATGGTTAAATCATGGTATGGATTTAAAGAGGAGAAGGAAGTGTCGGTCTGTAAAAACAGACAACCTTAGAAAGAAACAAAGCTTTAGCATGCAAAACTATGCAAACAATTTTAAAGGAATTTCAGAATAAAAGACTAGAGAAGAAATAATGATGGAAAAACTATCACTCCACGTTGTGGTCACATAGTTTACACCATGTACCTTTATAAAGGGCTTTGGGAAACAACTGATAAAATGTTTAGACTTATGTATATGTACATGTACATATTAAGTATATGTATATTCTCTTGAAAGTGTGGAAGGTGGCCTATCATGCTAACATAGGAACGTACTATATTCTTTATAATTCCATTATACAAGTATTTACACATTTGTCATAGCTTCTCATATCTTATCTATTATTATCATCATCATTAGTATAATTATCATTTTAATTATTGTCTCAAATTGATTATAGCTTTTCTTTTTTCTTTACTCTACGTGAAAAGAATCAGTTTATCTGTGTACGTATTATATATAGCTTTTCTTTTTTCTTTATTCTATGTGAAAAGAATCATCCAAATTTTAATGTCAATGCTTTTCTTTTTTTCTTTATTCTGTGTGAAAAGAATCATCAAATGTCAATGTGTAATGTAGTCTATCTGTGTGTTATTTATATCATTGTTTGTTATCAATAAAAGAGAAAAAAAAGTATATGTATATTCACAACCTTTCCTTTGATCACATACAGTAAACACGAGAACACGAGAATTTAGGAGATGGAATCATATGAAATCAAAAATAAATCAAATGAAAACGGATTGATCGATGTGTACTACAAAATTGATATGGCTATTAATACCACTGAAACATTTTTAATTTGCTGTGATACCCACGGAATTTATTAATGTGTTAAAAGTGTTGGGTTTTAATAGGTTTAAGAAACTTTTTTCACTTGGGATGCCATTGTTAAACTTAAAATCTCACAAACTGCAACATTGAGCAACAAGACACAGAACCAAACGGTTCTTCTTTGAAGAATCAGACCGTAGTATTCATGATAATTTTTGGCTAGTCGATGTTTGATTTCAAACTACAGCACTGAATCATTGTGTTTAAATTCAAAATAAATCCTTAAAAGGAAGGATGATTGCGATAAAATGCAGAGAGTATTGCATTTAAATTATTGCGATTAAACGCAAAAAATTATTGCGATTAAACACAAAAAATTATTGCGATTAAACGCAAGAATTATTGCGATTAAACGCAATAATTATTGCGTTTAATCGCAAAAATATTATTGTATTTAAACGCAATAATTATTGCGTTTAAACGCAATAATTATTGCGTTTAATCGCAATATTATTGCGTTTAAACGCAATGATTATTGTGATTAAACGCAAAGTTTTGCGTTTAAACGCAACAATTATTGCGATTAAACGCAATTAAACGCAATAATTATTGCGATTAAACGCAAAGTTTTGCGATTAAACGCAACAAAAAATATTTCTCTCTCTGAACTGGCCTCAACGGGCTTCCGTAGTTTTATGAAAATCCATATAATTATTTATAAAAAAAAATATTAAAAATTCATCGAATATGTTAACTTTTGAAAATTGAGGTTGAGGTTGGCGGGAGAACAAAACTATCGTTCGCAGTTATTTCTGCTTAGCCTTAATAAAGACTTGTTAAAAAAAACATTCTCACAAAAACATGACACCTTGTTGCCACTTATGCTATAAAGATACGATTGAGAATTCATCTCTAATTAAGTGGTAACCATGGGTACGTTTGGAATACATTTTAAATGCAGAAATATACTGAAATACGATCGTATTCACTCATGATAGGTGTTACATAATCAAACTCAAAAACAAAATTAAGAAAAACAATAAATATATCTTACCTTAAATCATAAGGTAGAAGCAATATTATTCTATAGATAACTTTCATGGTTGCCATGGTAACACAGTCTGCTAAATCTTGTGTGATGCCTCTAGTGTGTTGGTGTCTGTGTGCTTGTCACCTCTCGCTTTCAGCCCTCACCGCTGGCTGGCAGCTATGCATAAAAGGAAGCAATTTGTAAGTTTTCCTCTGCCAGTACATAGCCTCTCCACAACAAGTCCTATGCGATGCCTCCATGTGGAAGCAGACGGATACTTGGCACCTTTCGGCCCCAGGCTAACTATGCAAGGGCACACGGGATAATGAGGCTCGAAAGCCTTGGTCGGCAACTTTTCTAGGAGAAAAAACTCTGATTACAATCCGGATTTAGTACGAGACCGTTAGCAACTACTTTGTTGATCCCAAGACATAAAATTGGGGGTTGGACTTGAGGCTAATCACCTCCTTCCATAAAAAACAATTGATTACGGAAACCGTTGCAACAATTAGTTGCACTGAAGGAAGGGCAAGTGCGACATGCGAGATTCCGGATGAGGATTACCTTCTTTGGGAATTCGAGAGAATGACGACAATTAGGAAAATCCGAGAGGTCCCTAAAGGCCTGAAAGGAACGCAGATGTCATATAAACAACAACTAAAAACATCACCAAGATCGGATGTTGGAACGTAAGAACAATGTTCCAGATTGGAAAAAACAGTTAACATCGTAAGAGAGTTTAACAGATATAAGCTGGATATAATGGGACTGAGCGAAGTGAGATGGACAGGCTTTTGTGAACTTAATACAACCTATGCAGAGACCATCTTGTACTCGGGAGCTGAAGAGCATCATAGAGGAGTAGGATTTATACTTAGCAGAAAAAGCCGGTAAAGCTTGATGGAATGGAATCCTGTTAATGACAGAATCATCAGCGCACGCCTTCTCTTCGCTTTGCTAAGCTAACAATAATACAATTATACAGCCCAACAAACGAAGCAGACGAAGCGGATAAAGACACCTTCTATGAGCAGCTTCAAAGAGAGATTGCAAAAGTGCCAAAATATGACATACTGATGGTAATGGGTGATGCAAATGCAAAAGTGGGAAAGTCAAATGAAGGATGGGAAAGAGTCATGGGACAAGAGGGCATTGGGATTATGAATGAAAACGGCATGAGGTTAGCAGAAATGTACGC